GATGTGAAGGGTAAACAAAGGAGGAGGCTGCAATGCTTGGTAAGAAATGTACGCATTATCCTGTCCATGTAATTGTAACTCCTCTGTACAGTATGTTCACAAATAAAATTAAATTAAATTAAAAAAAAAGAAATTTCAATGTAGGTTAACTGTAGGTTACAGAATAAGACTCCCACTCACTGTGACACCACATTTCTTAGCAGAGACAAACCTTTAAACACAAGAAATCTTTCCATTTTACTAAGAACAGACAATTTAGGTGAAGGTAAAGCTGCTTTAAGGGGCTCAGAGCTTTACAGGAGGGTAGCTATGATTGAAAAGTAAAGAGAAAAGAGGAAAGATCAGATCAGCTCCAATGGTCTATGCAGAGCCTCCTGCACAGGGATTCTTGAGAACAAAGGATGTTTGTGTAGGTTAACTGGACACAAGTTCAGTTTTCTGCTATTGCCACCCAGAGAAGAGAGTCACACCAGCAATGTAACTGGATATCACCACATGTACTTAGGTATTTAGATATTCTGGTTCAGCTACTTTGTCCTCTGTTCCACACCCAGGATATCAGGAGATAGGGCTACAGTTGTATCGCCAGACCACACCACCACTACCCATTCTCTCACTGCTTCTTTCTCTGGCTCTTCATGAATGAGGTTTGAAAAGTAACAGCATCTGCTGATGCCACAGGGAGATGATGCATCCTCCAGCCTGCAATAGGCAATGCCTGACTAGAGAAATGTAGCTATTGGCATTACCACTGGATCCTTCCATTCATAAGAATGAAAACATATTTCCCACTCAAAATTTCATATTACTCATTGCTAGTTAAGAGAAATACAACTGATTTTTATTTTGGCAGTACTAGGTGAAGAACCCAAGGCCTTGCATCTAGTATGTAGGGGTTCTACCACTTGAACCATACTCTCAGCCCTCTGTATTTCAGTTATTTTTCAAGGAAGGTCTCACTTTTCTTTCTGAGGCCAGCCTGAACTGCAGCCCTCCTAGTTTATGCCCCCATGAAGCTGGGATAATAGGCATGTACTGGCATGCCCAGACTTTTCATTGAGATTGAGTCTACCTAAATTTTTATTTTTTATTTTTGACCTGGCTTGACCTCAGATATAATCTTCCCAATCTGTGCCTCTCATGTAGCCAAGATTACAAGTGTGAGCCACTGCTCCTGGCTACAATTCAATTTTGTATATTGATTTGGGGTCACAGTTTGCTTGTATATATGAGTTCTTTAGGTGCTTGTTATTGTTATACTGGAAACTAAGTTTTAAAGACAGAGTGTTGGTGTTGCTGGGCAGGTGCCTTCTCACTTGAGCCACACTCTCATCACTTTTTGGCTTTACTTATTTTTAATAGGGTCTTGCATTTCTGCCTAGGCTAGCCTCAAGCCATGGTACTCCAACCTAGGTTTCCCTCCTACCTGAGATGGCAGGTACACATCACCATGCTCAGCTTGTTCATTAAGATGATGTCTCACTAACTTTTTGCCTGCTCTGACTTCAAACTATGATCCTCCTGACTTCTGCCTTTTGAGTAGGTAGGATTACAGCATAAACTCCTGTGCTGGGCTGTATTTTTGTTTGTTGTTTGCTTTTGAGACAGCGTATTTATATATAACCTAGGATATCCTTGATTTCTTGGTACACTTGCCAGACTTCCAGGTGGTCAAATTACTAGCCTGTGTCAGCTTGGCTGACATGTTTATAATTTTCTATATACAATGTGTCATCCTTTGCAAATAGTGATAGGTTTTATTCCTTTCCAAGCAAGATGCCTCCTTTTTACTTTTTCAGCACTGGAATAGCCTGGGCTTCTTGTCTGGACCACAAGGAAAAAGATCAGTTTTCCCAGGCAGTTTCTTGTTGCTGCTCTCAGCCTCCTGTGGGATCTCTGTCTTGGGACTATGAACAAAGACACATGGAGACCTGGCACTGCCCCAGGCCAAGGTGTATGCTAGCATTTGTGTTTGATTTAATGTCATAGACACTTGAGTTTCTGCTTTAATGGTTTAACAAGTTACCCTTAGGATGTAGAGGACCCGTTATTTGAGTATGACTCAACCCCCCTTGCAGCTGCTGCTTTTGCTGCAGCTGCTGCTCCTGCATCTTCTTCTGCTACTGCTGCTTTAATTTTTTTATTTTATTGTAAAGATGATGTACAGAGGTGTTACAGTTACCTGAATAAGGTAATGAGTAAATTTCTTGTCGAGTATTGTTACCCCATCCTTTGTTTTTCTCCTACTATCCCTTCTCTTCCCCATGCCCCCCTCCCTCCCCATAGGACACTGGGTGCTGCTGACTTATGCCTGTAATCCTAGCTACTCAGGAGGCTGAGATCTGAGGATCACAGTTCAAAGCCAGACCTGGCAGGAAAGTCCTTGAGACTCTTATCTCCAATTAACCACCAGAAAACCAGAAGTGGCACTGTGGCTCAAGTGGTAGAGTGCTAGCCTTGAGCTGAAGAGCTAAGGGACAGCGCCCAGGCCCAGAGTTCAAAACCCAGGACTGACAAAAAAGGTATAGGACATGACTAGACTGTGGACAAGATAGATTAGTCCTAGGAGACTATACCACTGGCCAAAAAGCTCCCAGACACAGTAAAAATCAGCTTCACTTCATGTTTACAACTCATTTTGGAGTTGATATAAATACACTTATTCCAAAATTCCTCTTAGGTTATAGAAAACTACTACTTTAGACAGAAAGAAAAGAGCAGTCCCACCAAGGAATAAACAATGTACATTTTCAAATACCTTTTGTTCATGTTCATACGTTGGCACATAGTGAGTTCTTGGGTACTCTGGGTTCAATAGTGGGGAGGGGAATAGAGGGAGAGAGAGAGAGAGAGAGACAGAGACAGAGAGAGACAAAGAGAGAGAGGCTTTAAGGACCAGAAGCTTTTCAGAAGCTGGAGTCCTTGTTTGGATTCATTAGTGTGGCAGAAGTCCCAGGCGTGGTGGTGAAGATCTGGAGGCAACAGGAAAGCAGCATCCAGATTTACTTGCCGGACTCCTGGTGGTTCAGTGCCCATGAACATTATGTTTACAAGCATGTCTTTCCTGCCCTGAATATACACACAGGAGCTGCCTGTGTGACCAAGGGGAGAAAAATGTCAAGGACTGAAAAGAATAGGTTAAGAGAACAGAAACATGCAAGAGAGCTAAAAATTCAGAAGCAAGGTGGTTGAGAGATTCCTACTCCTCCCACTTTGCCCTCTTACACCAGGGCTGTTTGGTTACAAGGGAAGGGAAGTGTGAAGGGAAAACACCACCATGGAGAGAAGCCTAATTATTATATAATCCAAGGAGCAGTTGAAGCAAATAAAACAACTCAAGGTCACACTTATTTCTTCTTGACAACTAATAACTTAGTGTATATTCTGAATCCCCTGGATATCTTCCAGAGCCCCTTTCCCTGTAAAGTTCTCTCTTTGGAGATGCCTATAGACACAGACTCTCAGTCTTTTTTCTCTCCTGCCATGAAGTCAATAAGCAGCCCAGCTAGGTCCTCCTCTATTCAAGTAGAGGTCTTCAGAGATCAGTGTTCAGGACTAAATACTCTGAAATAGCCTTTTCAAGATCCAAGCATAGTATATATGTTTTTTTTATCTGTATTCTGATTCATCCAACTCCACCTTTGGAAACCACCTTTCAATTGGCTGTTTAGAAATGCCATAGCTGTGTTATTTCTATAAGAGGATCACTTGATATGCTGAGGATGGTGGTGTAGGCTGATGACAGGAGTTGGATGACCAACTCATGCATTGTTGCTTCATGCTGTTTTCATGAATTCTAGACATGCTCTATCTGAAGACTTCTTGAATTATGCTATAAGAAATCTGCTTGCTATGAACAAAGAATAACATTCCTCCTTAGCAGAAACTATTTTTCATATTTAAGTATTAGACTATTTTTCATATTAAGTACATGTTCCTTTTATATTTTTACCTCAAGGTATATTTAGACATTAAGATTTGCTGTTGTACTTGACCATTGCTGGCTCAGAGGGGAGAGAAAGAAAACACACTATGTGGAGGAGTCCATTTCTTTGCTACGTAGACTACCAGATCTGATCTCAGAAAGGACATTCTGTTGGCTTATTTCTTTCTCAAGATTATCTTGACTTCAGAATTATAACTGCATATTGACTGTCTTCCCTGGGACTTTACCTACTTTGCAAGCTCTGTGCCAAAGAAAGTTACTTTTTGTTCCCACTTAACAAAACACATGCTGATGATAATGAACCAACAATTTCTCAGAAGTTGTCATTTTTAAAGAAGCTTGAGCCACCTTCTTGACCAAGTACAGCTCAAGGAGAGAGATTTAGACTCTAAAATGGCAGCCAGGCATTGGAAGCTAAACTCTAACCACTTGTTCTCAACCAAGCTAGCTCACAAGACCAGCTGCTTGGCTGGGAGGCAGGTAGAGAGAAAAGAGAGACAGGAAATACGGACAAAGCAATAGAAAGGCAAATGAACATAAAAGAAGATACAAGTATTTGTATAGTATTATAAAGGAGAATTGTTGCCTTTTAAAATGGGTTGTTTGCAAGAAAACTAGAATGAGTTAAGGTCATTGCCTTTAGCATTACTCAATAGTTTATTAACAAAGTATTAAGCAGTAGATAATAATCAGAGCATCTTATCAGATGGCTTTTGGAAAAAGAGACTGGACCAACCACCGCAGCCACTCTTATAGCTTCCATCTCCAGTTCTCTTAATCCTGGCCAAGATGGAGGCCTTGGGTACTTTCTTCAGGTCATAAGCCAACCCAATGGCAGCCATGCAGTCAATGAAGAATGTGGTGAAGTTGAAGCTCCAGTGGTACTCACTGGCAGAGTAGTCATAGGGGAAGATGTGGTGGTAGTTATGGAAGCCTTCACCTGGAAGAGAAGCGAGAATATCAGAGAACTCAGCAGATTGCTGATTGGTCATCTTTGAACATTTCTTACCTAGCAGGTCCTGTGAACCTTGGAGAATCTTGCTGTTATTGAGTGAATGGCAAACTCAGTTCTTTCACTCTAAAGTGAACAGATGCCCACAGTGGCATCCTTAGCAACGAACTCAGATTTTCTACTCAAATTTCCAGAATTGGGAGGTTTTTTGTCTGTCTGTCTGTGTTTTGGTAAAACTTGTCTCTCAGAGTATCAAGAAAGAAGCAGGGCCGGGTGCCAGTGACTCACGCCTGTAATCCTAGCTACTCAGGAGGCTGAGATCTGAGGATCCTGGTTCAAAGCCAGCCCGGGCAGGAAAGTCCATGAACCTCTTATCTCCAATAAGCCACCAGAAAACCGGAAGTGGCACTGTAGCTCAGGTGGTAGAGCACTAACCTTGAGGTGAAGAGCTGAGGGACAGTGCTCAGGCCCAGAGTTCAAGACCCACAACCGACCAAAAAAAAAAAAAAAGAAAGAAAGAAAGAAACAAGAAAGAAGCAGGTTCTTCTGAGAAAATATAGGAAATATCTTGTAAAATGTCAGAGATTTGGTAGTACTGACCTGAAATCTCACAGGCTGTGTGCATATGTGCAAAAGTTTTGTTGGGGAATGGAGGGACCTAGGGCGAGAGGTTCTACAGTGGTGAGTGAGCAACACTCTTTCCCCGCTGAGGCCATGCTCTCTGTAAGGGTAGGGGGGTGCGTTGATGGAGGGGGTTGGGGAACAGCAGGCAGAAGTCAGAGAAAAGGAGGTCCAGATTGGGAATAGAGATTCCTCAACCATAGTATGCTGTTCATGCTTCTAATTTTCTGACCTTTTAGCCTGGGATGAGAGGTGCTGATAAATCAGAACTCCTGTGAAAACACCGAGAGATTCACTTCATCCTCAGAGGTTCTTAAAACTCTTGGGATGAATGTTTTGTAAGAAGCATCTTAATAGATGATGTTGCCAGGTGCTAGTGGCCCATTCCTGTAATCCTAGCTACTCATGAGGCAGAGCCCAGAAGATCATGGTTCAAAGCCTGTGTTAATGAGACTCCTCTCTAATTAACATCCCAAAAGCCAGAAGTGGAACTGTGTTTCAAAGTGGTAGAAGACCACTAGCCTTCAGCAAAACAGTTCAAGGAAAGTGCCTAGGCTCTGAGTGATCAAAAAAGGAAGGAAAGAAGAAAAGAAAGAAGGAAAGAAAGTAAATAGGAAAGAAGGAAAGAAAGAAAAAAGAAAGAGAGAAAGAACACGAACACCACACTATGAGTAGTAGAGAGAGTAGCAATAGTGACCAAGTAGAAAACAGGTAGGCATTTTAGAAGTCCTATCATAAGGCAGTTGAAATTGGAGGACAGTCATTATAATTATTTATAATGTTGGTCACACCTTAGTACAAATTATTCTGTTAAGAAAAACATAAGAACTAGCTGGGTGCTGGGGCTCATGCCTGTAATCTTGGCACTCTGAGGCTGAGATCTGAGGATCGTGATTCAGTGACAGCCTGGGCAGAAAAGTCCACGAGACTCTCATCTCCAATAAACTACTGAGAATAGTTCAGAAGTGACTCAAGTGGTAGAACTCTAGCCTTGAGCTGAAGCATCTCAGGGATAGTGCTTAGGTCCTAAGATCAAGCCCCAGGACTGGCAAAAAATAAAAAGTAAATCCAAGAAGTATAACACTTAGGTGATTTATTTCAAACACAAATCAAAGTTAGAACATATCTAATAGTGGAAGGGGATAAGAGAAGCATATGAAATCATAGCAAGGAGATTACACACACTTTCACAGTAGCATACTTGAAGTGTATCAACCTAGCTTATATTACAGAATCAGTAAATATAAAATGCTGATTTTTATTGACCTCTCTATTGACCCAACTGTTCTATTTATGTATCACCTGCTGAAAACATGACTGTAGCCCAGACCAGAGGTGACTAGAGAAAGGAAAGCTTAGAATGGTTCAATAGGCATGCCGTTTGGAAATGGATTTGGAAATCTGGAACTGGTAAAAGTGTTATTTTTCCACTGTTTTGCATAAAACTTGTTTCATGGCTTGCAAGTACATGCCCATTTATAACTACTAGTTTTGTGGTGAAAAATTGGGGGCACAAAATATCTTAAATACAGACTTAGCTGATATTGCCAGCTCCTAACCAAATACTAAATGTGGTCATGTTGTACACTGCTCACTTACCCAGAGTTCCCAGTGAAATCAGGACATTTTCACGGCCCTCAATGTTCTTGTCATAAGGACGATATCCATAGAGGTGAGCAACGCTGTTCACAAGCCAAGTCACATTAAGCACTACAGCGTATCTCAGGAAAGTAACATACAAGCTGTGTCGAAAAGTTTCACCCCAACAGTACCAGGGCACTAATGTGGGCAGGATGAAGCACATTAACAGGACACTGGGGCTGTAGTACCTACATGAGAGACCACACAGTGAGAGTTTGGACACAAGATTCTCACACCAACCTAGATAACTCATTCTTTCTGGGCTGGGCCCAGCATTCCCTCTACACTGTGAATACAGAGCCAATCAAGCCAAAGGGAATAGGTAGAAAACCTTTTGAGAAGACAGAGTTGTCCTATCACTTTTTAAGTAATGCGAAATGGATGTGTTAAATAAGTATTCTAAGATCACCTCATTAGGGCTGCAAAGGACAAGGAGAAGAATGTCATACCTGGGTTCTAAATGTATAGTTTCTTTTTGTGTGTGCTGATTCTGGAGCTTGATGTCAGGGTGTGGGTATTCTCCATGAACTTTTGTGCTCAAAGCTAGCACTCTTCCACGGGAGCCATAGCTCCACTTCCAGATTTTTGGTGGGTCAATAGAGATCTTCACAGACTTCCTGCCCAGGATGACTTTGAATCATTATACTCTGATCTCAGCCTCCTGAGAAGCTAAGATTACAGACTAAAGCCACAAGTACTCCTTTCTTTCCATGAGACCTCACGTTATATTGATCAAACAGGCAGGGTCCCCTCACAGCCACATCTGCCAAATTCTGGACACCTTTCTCTTGCTCAGCAGTGTCATTGGCAGAAAGCATGGCAAATGTCATGCCTTCATTTTCTCCTACTACCCCCTTCGTTCTTTGCTCTGCTTTTTCCTCAGGTCTGTGACCACAGCAGGTCTCTCCTTCAGGAGGCCCTGTTTTCTTCAGTTCCATGTAGACAAAAGCCATTGACATCGCAAGAGAATCAATTGCCTATATGCCTCAGTCACATCTTCTGTTTTGATGTCACTGACAGTCCTACATCAAACTCTTTCCCCATCCTGTCATTGCTTCCCTGGTTTGAGTCCTCCCTATCATCGGTCTTGTGTTTCCACTTCTCATCTCTTTACCTCAATGGTACTTACACTTGTCCTGAGATTGGCCTCTTCAAAGCATACCTGACTGTGACACATGAGACTGGAAAATCTTTTATGATTCCCCATTGATGCCTGAATTAATCTTAAATTCATATCAAAGACTCTACCAGAGTGTTATCTGTCTACCTTTCGTGCCTTTCCCTGTCATATTGTAAACTACAAGCAGAAAAACTGTTTCAGGTACCTGCTTGATGTGTTAGCTCATGCTTTTCTTTCTGTTTGAACTATCTACCCATATTCATAATGGTCTCTCTTTGTAGGTCAGCTCAGTCATACTTTGTTCATGCACCTTGACCTCATTTTCCTCACTGGCCAAGTTCTTTTCCTTTGTACCATCCCAGTACAGATAATATTCTCCTTCGTACAATGGTCATTTTTGATACTTGCCCTATCCCTTTACCCTACTCTGATAAAAACTCAAAAGAAAAGTGTCAGACAGATTCATTTTTCTGTCTCTGACTATCCTGCTTCAGTGAAATTTGTGGTGTTTAATTAGCTTCATTAAAATAGCTCAGAGAGAAAGGAACAGAAGAATAAAACATGGCTTTGGGCTTTTAGACCATAAAAACAGTCAAAATGACAATTTTGAATATGGAATCAGGAAATTATTCAGGTATGTTACATGTTCTAAGAGAGAGGTAGTGTCCCTAAATCCCACATTTCCAAGGCCACACCCCAGTGCTATCTTCCCTTCCTCACCTCCTCTGGAACATCAGCAGTTTCTCAGCTTTGAGGTCAGACAGGTCCAGCAAACCACCCTTCTCTTTGACAGCTTGCTGTTTGCGCACCAACAGCCAACCCACGTGACAGAAGAAAAAGCCACGGCGAGAATTGTGAGGATCAGCATGAGTCTCTGTGAACTTGTGGTGCACACGATGATCTCGGGCCCATTCATACACGTCATTCTGAATGGGGCAGAAGGAAAACTAGACCTTAGAAAGATGCCCAGTACGGAGGATTGGAGTGCCCAGAAGTCTGCAAGGGCCTTGAACTCTCAGCCCAGCATCACAGTTCCCAGGACCTTGGCTGCAAAGAAGGAATACGGGCCTGTCTTCTCAGCATTTGTTCCTGACACTGTTGTGGAAAATCAACTTCCAGTTCCCAAGCCCTGGAATAGCACTGATGCTTCCTGAAGGTTATATGGCAGCACCCAAAGAGTTTCATTAGCCAAAAACTGTAATTCTTCATCAGGCTAGGATGATGAGAAGGGTACTCTTGGGAGTGACATCCCCAAACACAGAGTACAAGCCAGATGGAATGGACCCTAAGGCCGAGAAGCTTCATCCTGATGCTTTCCCACATGATAGGTACCCAAAACAGTAACTATAAAGTCATGACCATGAGCACATTTCCAAAGGCTCTCTTGGCTTGTTAGAGACTCTATCCATCCCTCCAAAATTGTCACTATGTCTCTTCCTTCCCTTTGTCTCATGAGGACATTGGGAACCTCAAGGACAAGTTGTGCAGGCAGGTTGATTAGGCAAATGTAGTGAGCCCTTCAGATTTTGTCAGAACAGTGCAGACTAATTTGGGTTCAGTTTTTCCTCTTCTCTAAATTATTCCTCACATAACATCTACAGGTAGGAGAGTTCCTTTCCCTAATTATCTTAATCATTCTGTGAAAATCTTGTTGGCTGAACCAATCTCAGTACTTGACTTAGCCAGCATGGCGTCTCTAGTTATCACTATAAGGCTAGTCTACCTCACCTCTCAGTGGCTCAGTTTCGTTATCTGCAAAGTAGGCCTAACAGTTCCATTGACATCCAAAGACCTCAGTAGAGAGTTTATGAGTTAATCTCTATCAGCTTTCTTACCTTAGTGCTGGGTACATAGTCATTGCTACACAAGTATTCACTCGTGTGTGTGTACATGTGTGTATGCATGAGCAAACATTGGCTTGTCATGGAGCATGAACGTAGGGTCTAGGGGTGCTGTCCTTTAGCTTTTTGCTCAAGGCTGTTTTGCTCTGCTACATGGGCCACAGTTCTACTTCTAGGGTTTTGGTAGTTAATTGGAGATAAGAGTCTCACAGAAATTCCTGCCCAACCTAGCTTCAAACTGATCCTTAGATGTCAGCCTATTGAATAACTAGGGTTACAAGCATGAGCCAAGTGTCTGGCTGTGTTCACCTTAGTTATCAGCAAGTATGACTGTGTGCTACATCCTTATTAATCCCATTATCTTGAATCCTAAAATAGTCATCTTTAAGTTTAGTGTTCACTGACTGCCCCAGAAGCCTAGGTCAGGGCCTGGCTCTTATACTATGGTCCTCTATTCTGAAGAACCACAGTGATCATACTGTTAGATAAAACATAGACCTTGGATGAAAATGACCATATACCTGGTGAGCCTTTCCTCTCTACATCCTTCTCAATGACTCCAGTTGAAGTGACCAGATGAGATTGGAAAAGGCCATGTCTGACCTGCTGGGACTCCTCTCCAGGTGCCAGTCCCCTTCACTCCATCCTGGATCGTTGATAGGATGGAGACACAGAGCAGAGCCCTGCCAGCTGCTCACCTGGAATGCCATGGAGTTGGCAATGATGAGGAAGAGCCTCAGAGGCAGCCGTGCTTTGTAGGTCCGGTGGCTCCACAGGCGATGAGCCCCTGCTGTGATGCCCAGGATACTGACTACATAGCACAGAAAAGCTGCCAGGATAGAGCAGTAAAGAGTCACCGCCTGATGGGAATACAGCCAGGGGAGGCATGTCAAAGCACTCCTGTGATGCCAGAGCCAGCCTCTTTAGACTTTAGGAGAAGATCTGCTTTACCTTGAACCCTAGGAATGCCTTGGTCTTGGGGTTCCAAGCTTTCACTGCTTGAAAATCTGTGCTCATCACTTACCCTTTTCTTCCAAGAGTAGAGATAAGCTAAGGAGCTAAGAAGACATAAAGACAAGCAAAGGAATAGGACTCTCAATCACTTGTAATTGTCAAACCTTAGCCATGTAGTTCTATCTCCTTTGGCCTTCACCTGACTTTTCTGAAGTGTTCAGGGAGCAGTTAAGACACTGCTCAATTGCAAGTGCCTTACATTTTGATTTGCCAACTGGTACAACACAATTTCATTATTATAGCAGGCACTACGCCCCCGTGAGGGGCCCTCCACACAGTCATGTTTGCTTAATGGCTCAAGCTTTATAAAAATGGTTAACATTCTCATGTTTAACATACAGCTTGAACAGGGTAAATACTATGAGTACTCTATGTCACAGTTCAGGGAATAGATGAAGTGAGAGCTGTATGATTTAGGGTCACAGGGCTAGTAAGTTGAAGCCATGTTTCTAGCGAGGTTATCTATCTCTGATGATGAAGAACCCCAAGAATGGAATTCTGGAGGACCTTAGGGTTGCCTTCTCTGCCATCCTGAAGGCTTTCAGGTTCAGAAGGTGCCACACATGATCTCTAGTGGGTAAGGGGTTCTTTGGCATACCCACCATTCCCTTTGTTCAGCAGCACTAGGAGGACAGGATGAGGCCTAGGTTAAAAATTTATAACTTGTGTTGGGAGAACAGATTGAAACAATAGATTGTCTATGGTTATAGAACTTCATGGAAGGCACCAAAACCTTTATAAGTTGTCCTGTTCTACTGAAGCAAGGAGAGATTTCGAAACAGCTTTCTCTCTTCTCCCCCTATCTCCTTCATCTTACCCTGTCCTTCAAGGGGCCCAGGAGTGCCATAGCATTAGTATTATCCTAGCAAAGTTCTGGCCACAATTCTTCAGATCTGAGATTGAGACCCCAGGTGACATGTGGCCAGGCCATGTAGTGATTGATACCATCTTCTCACATACAATACTACATGTGTAATTAGGGGAAGTATGGTGAATTCAGAGCCCTATAATCATCAAGAAGTAAGGGCCTAGATTCAGGAAAAGTACAAACCCTCAGCTCAGAGCAAAGAAATCATGTTCATTTGTTTCATGCTGCAGATATATTCGTTCTAAAAGAACATGCAATGCCCATTAGCAGCAGAATTAGAACCAGAACCCAGGAACTAGGTGCCTGTTTTATTATTTATCATGTACCCAGCTGAAGTCACTTATATTCATTTTCTGTCACCAAGGAAGGACTGTCAATGCCTACACTGATGGTGAAGGAACATCTTGTAGATCTGACCTGAAAAGTGGGCTGGGGAGGTATTACTTTCAGACTGTCAATGATGTAAGAAATATTTCACAGCCCTGACTGAAGGGCTCTGCTGAGCAGCTCCAAAAGTAAAGGGACAAAACATCTCCACATCTGAAAATTTTTAGTTTCCTTTGGGATAAAACAAGGAAAGCAACTAAAGTCTACAGGTGGGAGGAGAAAATGCCCAAGCTAAGACCTCTACCCTTTTTTTTTTTAAATCATTGAAGAAATTTGAAATCCACATTTCACCATAGACACTCTGTCAACCTAATCACTCATCAAAAAGCCCTGATCAAGAGTAGAATAAAACAACATTATAGCTCTGTGTACCAATTTCTGTCCAAAGTCACAGCAGATCCACACAAGGAAGACATTAAAGAGGTAGATACCATAGCCTTAATGCTAGAGTGACATTATGATCCCTATACATTTTCCAGGGTAGCTCATCACATATTGATCAAACTAGGAACTGATGCCTACAGGGAATTTCCTTTCTGGAAGGGACTTGCAGCTGATGAGCCTGCTTGTGAAGAATCTCCTGGGAAGAAGGGGTGGAGAAGGAAATCCATTCTTCCTCTCGATTCATTATGCTACAGCTCATAATACATAGTGAAACTCATAGTATACCAGTAAAAGAACATAAGTGTCCCTCTACATCTCTTAAACTATACACAAACTCTGAAACTATACCCAAGCGATTTTTTTCTATAGTTGAAGTTTCCTTCAGTGGCTATGATGAAATGATGTAAACAAAAAAGAAAGTCTAAACATGTGTTGCTATCTTCTACTTGGTAGTCAGCAAAACTGTTTCCTAAGAATCAAAAATCTTAGTTGTATTTCTCCTGGGAACTGGAAGGATTTCCCAAGACAAAAGCCAGGAATCAATCTTACCACCTAGAATACCTGAAAGGCTCAGGTGGTGGTGGCACCTCCTTGCTGACTGATATTACTACCATCCAAGACAGCTACCTACTAATCCCCTCACACTGGACTGTTCATCCTCCTGTCTTCCGGAGAGAAGACACTAGTCTTTACTCCCAGACTAGTCAGCCTCCTTGGATACAAAGACAAATGGCTGGAAACCCAGACTGAGAGGGGATGATGTCCTCTGTGGATCCCAATTGCATCAGGCTCTATTCCAGCTCAGCCAGCCTCCCAGGAACAAGAGAAAGAAACAAGAGAGAGAACACTGCCCTTTGTGCTCTTCACTAAAGAGCAGGGAGAAACCTGGGTACTGGCTCATGATGAGGGGAGCTGCTTACCCCAGAGCCAGGTGTAGGCCTTGCAGCCAGGAGCCAGGGTGATCCCATACAGGGCTCCCAGGTGCAGCAGAGCCATGAGGATGATGTTTCTCCACACATACTCAAGCTTCGGTGCGGGGCCCACCTCATCCTGGTAGGTGGGGTCATAGATGTCTTCTTTCATTTCGGGGCGGATGTCGTCTACTAAGTGGAGGGCCAGGTCCTTCAGCTTCTCTCTTTTATTCTGCAGGTCCATAGAAAGAGGTTTCATGATGGTGGTTGTAGAGGAATCAGAGATCTACAAGGAGAGAGCATAGTGTGTGAGGAGAGCGCAGATGCCTGGTAGGTGACTGGGAGCACTGGGCTCTGTGCTGCACTGTGGTTAGAGTACAATAGACGCACAGACCTTGCCCCAGTGCTTTCGGTGACAAGATTAAAAGAGGAAGTCTCTTGAAATTGTGCAGGTAGATGGTGGTAAAACCTCAAGGTGAAGGGGTAGAACTCAAATGATTGCTTCATTGCATCTTCTTTAAATTTTGGGAAAGAAAAGTCCATGAATCAACTGTTCACGCTGCAATTCACATTTTTACCAACGGATGGCAGCACATCAAGCACTCTGAAGCTCTTAACTGTCTTCCTTGTCCACAAGTCACCCTGAATCAGGAAACTTAGAATGTAGGGATCCCTGGAAAGGAAGGAAGGAAGGAAGGAAGGAAGGAAGGAAGGAAGGGAGGGAGGGAGGGAGGGAGGGAGGGAAGAAAGGAGGGAAAGAGGAAGAGAGGGAGGAAAGGAGGGAGGGAGGAAGAAAGGAAGGAAGGAAGGAAGGAGGGAGGGAGGAAGGGAGGGAGGGAGGGAAGGGAAGGAGAGAGGGAGAAAGGAAGGAAGGAAGGAGAAAAGGAAAGAAAAGAAAGGAGAATGAAAGATATGTTTGTATATGGAAAGCCATTGTTTTAGGCTAAATTCCTGTCCAAGCCTTCAGATCAGACCAGTTCCCAAAGCAATTATTCATTCTAAAGGTGTAAATGTCTAATTCCTCAAAGACAAAGTTTTTCATAAAAGAGGAATTTCCAGGGCATTCCCATCAGCCTAATAGAATTTTCCTGCCTTACAAAACAGCATCCTATGAAGGCTGGTAATGTGGTTCAGTGGTAGAGTGCTTGCCTAGCATGCACGAAGTTCTGGGTTTGATTCCTCATTACCATATAAACAGAAAAAGCCCGAAGTGGTTCTGTGGCTCAAGTGGTAGAGAGATAGCCTTGAGGATAAGAAGCTCAGTGCCAGGCCCTGTAGTTTAAGCCCCAGGACTGGCAAAAAAACCAACAAAACCCAAGCATCCTATAGCATATTGATGTAAGATCATAATATCAAAAATAATAATAAACCAATTTTATTTTGCTTTTCAAGTAGTGTTCTTAAAGCAGTACAGCTTGGTAAATAATTTAAAGTAGTGTAAGTCATATAAAAACAATTTTTTCCTTAATGCAGGCAACTATAACCTATCACATTTTTTAAACACTAAAAGGAGTTTATTAAAGTTTTACTACATATAAAAGTTCAGGCTTATGGACTTTATAAGCTCTTCCTTGTGAAGTACAAAACAGAATAATTAAGGATCAGCTAACTCAATACCTCTCAAAACATTGAACACTGGCAAGTTAAGGAAATACTCTCAATCCTAAAATGGTATCCATAGGCATATGTTTTGATTTTATCTATAAATCTTACTAGTAAGAAACCCTAACAAATCCTCAGCACCTACATGGCTTTTCAATACTTCTGTGATGCTAATACCCTCCTCAAAAATCAGTGATTAAGAGATTTGTGTGTGTGTGTGTGTGTGTGTGTGTGTGTGTGTGTGTGTGTGTGAGTCATGGGGCTTGAACTCAGAGCCTGGGTGTTGTCCCTGAGCTCTTTTTGCTCAAGGCTAGCACTCTACCACTATGAACCTCAGTGCCAAATCCAAATTTTGATGGTCAATTAGAGATGTGTCTTACAGACTTTGCTGCCCCAGATGGCGTTAAACCACGATCCTACTCAGATCTCAGCCTCCTGAGAAGATAGGATTATAGGTGTGAGCCACCTGCACTCAGTATATATGTCTTAATGGGATATAGCCATTACACCATTTAAAAAGTTGACATAATTGGGCTAGTCTGCTTCTGATCATAAATTGACATAAGGCTATAATCTTAAGTGATAAGATCTATTCTCAGCAAGATCTTAAGAACTAGTTCCCTGAGTATAACTCTGTCTCTCCACTTTCAATGAATGATGTGTGGGGCCAAGAACATTGTCTCATCTAACCTAGAAATGGTGGTCCACAAGTAGCCCATTTGGGGCTTGCAAAAGCAAATCAACTCGGGAGTTCATGGACACTGAATCAAAACTCCTTCCTTGTCCCAATTCCAGTTAGAAGAACTACATTTCAAAGGCTTCTCTTCAGAGTTCAGGAATGTAATATTAATTGATGGTACTTCTGCATCAGCATAGTGAATGAACACCGGGCAGGAAAGTACAAATTGTTTACTGACATGTGCTATCAAAGTTAGTTGAGACTGTCACACCATAACTCCTAGAAACATTTTTTTTTCTGTCCAAGAACTGACTGGATTGACGAGACTTAAACACTACCAAAAAAGAAAAAAAAGACACAACCTTTTTTTTTTTTTTCTTGATGAATTGAGTACACTAAGCAGGGGCTCTACCCCAACACTCTTTTGCAAAAAAAGGTTTATGCTGCCCAGACTGACAAACTCCTGAAGCCCAAGGTTTTCCTGCCTCAGGCTCTCTAGTTGCTCCCAAATACAATATCCAATTTACATAAATTATAAAATATGGCTGGTATTAAAAAAGGTCACTCTTTGCTAATTCTTACAGTGTTCAAAAGTATAACTTACTTCACTTGGAATGAATGTTGATAAACACTTTAGCACTCTTAATTACCTAAAATATGTTAGGTGTGGAAGAGATGTTTAGGTAGTCCTGCATCATTTATTTACTCCCCAATTAAAACAATTTTTAACATCAATATTCACCTGTTTGAAAATCTTCAAGTTACTTCCAAATACAGACCTGTCTATGCACCTAAGATTATGCCATTTCTTTTCATCAAAATATTACGTTTAAATTAGGTGCAAAGACAAACATTGCAGAATAGTAAAAGACAAACTCTGTTAAGAATGTATGTCATGGAATCGTCAGCCTCTTCTGCTAGTAAAAATGGGAGGTATTATTGAACTAAATACTAGATGTTTTACTGTAGTTTCTGATAATGACAATGTGAATTAACTTTCAGATACTGTCTTTATTTCTACCTGGCACATAATTTGTATCCAACTCAAGCCTGGGCTGGAGGCATGGCTCAAATGGTAGAGTGCCTGAAGTGGTAGGACACCTCCCTACCAAGGCCCTGTGGACAAACCCAGGTATTGGTCTCATGCTCCCTGACCTCAAAAAATTATTGTCCCAATAGAAACACAGACTATTTAATATATTTCTAGATACTTGTATTTGTTGCTAGTCTACTAAAATTTAGTTTGCTCCTTTGGCTACTCTGGTTAGCAGTGGTTAGACTCTGCTGTACAAAAATAAACTCACTTCGCAATTCAGATTCACGTTTTCAATGACAAGCTACTTCCCACATGAATTCCTTTAAAAAATACAAAGTGGGACAGAGTATATGTTGTAAATCATGTAAATTGTTAGATAAGCAACTTCAGGCAAACACAGTGAAATGATTTCATTTAAGAAATGCTGAGAGATACAGAATAGGCTGTTGGTCACACTGAGATGCCCTGTTCTTCTCAGTGAACCTCAAGAGTTGTAAGTTCCTTTCTGTTGAACTCTGTTCATTATTTCACTTACCACATGATATGTTAGTTTTGCTTTTTGCTTCACATCCAGAGACAGTGTGCCCTGAAAATGCATGATATAGTTCAGAGGTAGAGCATTTGCCTGGCAGGCCTTGGGTTGAATCCACAGCACCTCATACATGCATGTTTGCACATACATACATGTTTGCACACACAGCTTATGAACTCCAGGCTTCATGCCAAGGTTAGTTTGTGGTATAAGAGATCATGTGACCTTTTAGGTGTTCAAGTGGCTGACAAGTCCTCATCAAGAGCAGAAATTGTGGCAGACACAGGACTGGGTCCTGTAGGAAGACCTCAGGTATCTGACTAGGACAAGCTGAAACTAGCATCAGTGGCATTTACACTACTCTATTTCCTCATCCACAAGAAATGTGTTCCAAGACCCCAGAAGATGCCTGAAGCTACAGCTAGTATCAAACCCTATATATAAATAGTGTGCCACAGCAATAGGCAATCTGATAACCCAGATAATTGCTGTATGACATGCAGGTGGGTAACTTATGTAGCATGAATATTCTGAACAAAGGGAAGATTCTTTGAAACAGGATGAAGTAGTGAAAGAGGGCATCAGTTACTGGCAGATTAATTTCCCTTTTTCCTCTTTAGCTCTATTTTTCATGTTTATTTTCCCTCTTGAGTACTCTCTTCCATAGTTATCTTGGATCTAGGAACCACAGATTGCCAGATCATCAGCTGCATGGCAAGGAACGAAAACTACCCCAACATCATCAGCAAGCCTCACAGGACAGATCACCTCATAATGAAATCACCCTGAATGAGAGCAATTACCTATGGTTGGTGAGGCTGCACACCAGAACTGGGATAATCAGCTTATGGCATCAAGATTGCTTTTCTCAAGTGGTGACAATGATACTAGTTTCTTCAGATTCCCTTGCAAAATCAAAATTAAGATGATGATCCACCCCCACCATTGATCTAATTATGGTTATCCTCTCTGTCAGTTTTGTACAACACAAACATCCTCTTGGTTTTCCTCACCTATAAAATCTCAAAAGTTCCTGTCAGTAGATTGTGAAGCTCTTATCTGTTCTTCCCAATGTTGCTACATTGACTAAAAATCCTTTCTTTGCCCTTGCCTTTCTCTGCCCTTCTCTTCTACTAGACTTTGATTGGTGGTCTGGGTAGGCGTCATAGTACACTCTGTTGGAACCCTTGGAGCCTGGGCTTTTGCCCTAAACTTATGCAATAATTATTGAGGCCAGAGGACGTTGATCAATCAACTGTATGGTAACAAAAAGCTTCTGAAACAGAAGAGCTGCCTTTCAACAGGACATCATGTGACCACTCAAACAGAAAATCAAGAACTTGCCCAAGCCAGCTTTAACCAAGATAACTAAGGAAGATCACTATTGTCCTCATTGTTATTATAATAACATTTATTATTGCCATCATTATAATTTCCATCCTGTATCTGAAGCCATGACACATCTGAAAACTCTAATGACAACAAACAATCAAACAAACAAACAAGCCCTATGGAATAGAAAATGCAAATAGACTATTTTGGAAGCTACCCATTCCCATTCTGAGAATTCTCTACCTCTCCTCAGCCTACCTTCTTCCTCCCCTCTAGTAAGCTTGACAGTAAGATCTGCTATCCAAAACCCCAAAGTGTGCAACTTAGGGTAAAAACACCTACATTTACCTCTTTTTGTTTTTTATTGTTTGTGCTGAGCCTTGAACTCAGGGCCTGGATACTATCTCTTAGCTTTTTTGTTCAAGGTGCGTGTTCTATCAGTTGAGCCACAGCTCCACTTCCTGCTTTTTTGGTAGTTTGATAGAGATAAGAGTTTCATAGCTGGGCTGGGAAGGTGGCTCAGTGGTAGAGCACTTGCCTTGCATGCCAGAGGCCCTGGGTTTGATTCCTCAGCACCACATAAGAAAAAAGCCGGAAGTGGCGCTGTGGCTCAAGTGGTAGAGCGCTAGCCTTGAGCTGAAGAGCTGAGGGACAGCGCCCAGGCCCAGAGTTCAGGCCCCATGACCGGACCAAAAAAAAAAGTTTCATAGCTTACTTGGAATGTGGCTCAGTGGTAGAGTGCTTGCCTACCATGCATGAAGCCCTGGGTTTGATTCCTCAGTACCACATACACAGAAAAATCTGGAAGTGGCACTAACCATCAACATAAAAACTCAGGGACAGCACCCAGGTCCAGAATTCAAGACTCACAATCAGAACAAAACAAAACAAAAAAAAGAAGTCTCACAGACTTTCCTACCCAGAGAGTCTTCAAAGCACAATCCTCAGATCTAAGCCTCATGAGTAGCTAGGGTTACAGGCATGAATCACTGGCACTCAGCTCCACACTTAACTTCTTTTGAGCATGAACTTTGCTTTAAAATAAAAGCTCTTTCTCTCAATTACTTACTTTCTTGTATCTCTGAATTCTTTCTCTGACAGTGTTAAGACCTGGAAACACTGGGTTGAGATCTTGATCTTCCTATCTGTCATTGACACTTCCCCAGCCCTTTACCAGTGGCAACAATATGACAATGACTACTCAGAATGACTTATCATTTAAAACTTACAGGATAGGAGTGGTGGCACCCATCTGTAATCTCAGCACTATAAGGCTAAAGCAGAAGGATCATGAGTGTGATGCAATACAGGGCTACACCTCTTCCAAAACAAAACAAAAAAAATAAAGAAGCCTATCTAAATTTGTAAGAAACTAGGAGATGGTGGCTAATGCCTATTACCTTAGCTGCTCCAGAAGGTGACATTGGTAGCTAATGCATCAAAGGAAGCCTAGGCAGGAAAGTCTGTGGGACTCTTATCTCCAATGAACTATCAAAACGCTGGAAGTTGAACTTTGGCTCAATTGTAGAGCACCAGCTTTAAGCAAAAAACAGTCAGGCACAGTGCCCTGAGTTCAATCCCCAGGAATAGCATTCAAAAAGAAAAATAGGGGCTGGGAAGGTGGCTCAGTGGTAGAGCGCTTGCCTTGCATGCCTGAGGTCCTGAGTTCTATTCCTCAGCACCACATAAGCAAAAAGTAAAAAGCCGGAAGTGGTGCTGTGGCTCAAGTGGTAGAGCGCTAGCCTTGAGCTGAAGAGCTGAGGGAAAAGGCCCAGGCCCAGAGTTTAGGCCCCACAACTGGACCAAAAAACAAAACAAAACAAAAAAAACAAAAAAAAAAGAAAAATAGGAAATTTGGTTGGAATACTTTTTAGAGTCCTAGTGAATGTGAAGCCCTCAATTCAATCCCCAATAAGGAAAAAAATATTTCAGAAGCTTCTGTTAATATACAGGTTTCTCTAGGCATGCTGGGGATTGAACCCACGACCTGGCCCATGCTGACCACCAGCTCTACCTGACCTCAACTTTCAAGCTTTATGAGCCATCATTTTCAATATACTTGTTCAGATACAGGGGAAGAGAAGGGAGAGAGAGAAAGAGCTAATTAAAGTATGCTACAGAGCCATGTTAACATTAGATGAATGGAATAGAATAGAAGACCTGAGAATAAGCTCACACATCTACAGCCAAAAGCATGGATTTGTAAAAAGAAAACTTCAGTAAATCATTTTGAGAAAGCTGAATATCCACATGCCAAAGACTGAAGATAGATTCCTATCTCTCAATTTTTTGTTTGTTTTTTGGCTTGTTTTCTCTATCAGTCATGGGGCTTGAACTCAGGGCCTGGGCTCTGTGCCTGAGCTTTTTCACTCAAAACTAGCACTCTAACACTTTGAGCTGTAGCACCACTTCTGGTTTTCTGGTGGTTAATTGGAGATAAGAGTCTTACAGACTTTTTCTTGCCAAGATGATTTGGAGCAGTGATCCTCAAATCTCAGCCTTCTGAGTAGATAGGATTTCAGGTGTGGGCCACCAGTGCCTGGCTTGCATTGCTTTTTATACAAAATTAGAAATAGGCCCAGTGTTAATTCATTAAGGAAATACTTCATGATATTGGTCCAGGCAAAGATGTGCTTCAAATTAAAAAGTTTCTATATAACAGAACAAAGAGCCAACAAAGTAATAATAAATCCTACAGAAAGAGAAACATTTTCCATTTATTAATCTTTCAGAGGATTAATAGGTGGGATATATAAGTAGCTCAAAACTTAACAATAAAAGAACAAATAATGAAATAAAAATGGTCACATGATCTAAGTGGACACTTTTTCAAAATTATCAATGAGCAATACATGTATAAAAAGTTCTCAATATCTTTACCTGTTAGAGAGATGCAAATCAAAACTACATCGAGATTCCATTTCTTCCCAGTAATATTAGCTATGATCAGAAATAATAAATTATCAACCAAAATATGAACCAGAAATAAATAAATACTGGGGAGAATACAGAGAACAATGAACTCTCATGATGTTGCTAGGAATGTGTGTTAGTAGAGTCTCTATGGGAAGTGGTATGAATGTTTCCACAAAAACTAACAAAAGAACTACCATAGAATCCAGCTATCTCAATTCTGGGTACATATCCAAAAGAAATGAAATCAGTGTACAAAGAGCTACCTATATACTTATGTTTATTGTGGCACTATTCAATCAGATTATTAAAAAATTTTTTTATTCCTACCTTATAAAACTTAGGATTACACAGTTGCTCAAATGCAGTTTTTATTTCTGTTTTGAGGAATGAAAAGCACCCCCATTCAGTGAACAATGAATGTCAATTAGATCTATAACAAATTTTCTGTAGTTATGATAGTTGAAAGTTGAGCTAGGTACTGCTGGCTCACATTTGTAATCCTTATTGCTGAGGACACAGATCTGAGGAATCCAGTTTGAAGCTAGCCTGTATAGGAAGGTCTGTGAGACTCATCTCTAATTAACCACCAAAGTATTGAAAGAAGATCTGTGGCTCAAGTGGTAGAGTGCTATTCGTGAGCACAAAAGCACAGGGACAGCATCCAGACCCTGAGTTCAAGACCAGCTTGAAAAAAAAAATAAGGAGCTGGGAAGGTGGCTCAGTGGTAGAGTGTTTGCTTCGCATGCATGAGACCCTGGGTTTGATTCCTCAATACCACATAAACAGAAAAAAACCGAAAGTGTTGCTGTAGCTAAAGTGGTAGAGCGCTAGCCTGGAGCGGAAGAGCTGAGGGACAGAGCTCAGGCCCAGAGTTCAAGCCCATGATAAATAAATGAAAAAAAGAAAAAAAGATTGTCTGCATACATGGACTTGTTAAAATGAAGCATCTTCCTACTGCTAATTTATGTCAATAATAAACAAATATGCACACATACATTCCCAAATTAGAGTTTTCATTTCCAAATCCTGGAAAGCAGCACAGAACTAAAAAAATATGACTGAGTCTTCCAAGATAATCTCGACTGTCTTGCCCATCAACTGCTTTGGAACAAGCCCAAACTGAGCTGCAAACATGCAGAGCCACATCTTGGAAGCTTACCTTCTCTTGCAGCAAGGGCACAGGCATTTTGGTTTCTGAAACCCTGAAGACTTTCCCAGGACTGAGGCTGCAGACTGCAGTGTGGTACTGCCAGAACAGAAGATGGCTTCTTCTCCAGAGCCTGCTGGTATACCACAAGTAGGTGCTTACTCAAAGCCCTTCACTTTGCAGTATAGACCAGATCTTTGTGGGCATTCGAAGTCTATAGTAGCTGAGGAGTAACCAATGTCCTATATATATATACCACAAACTTTTTTAACCTGCCAACAAGGGCAAGGTGAGCAGAGCAGGCTGGTCCAATCATCCCTTACCAGAGGTAAGAGTGGTTGAAGGGAGATAAGAGAAGGTGGAGGTAGGTAGGGATTAAGCTGGGGCCTCAAGATGTTACAAACAGATACCTATCCAGCCTATGTTCTTGCCCATGAGAAAATTCTGTCAATTCTGCCAAAGAGAGCTTAGGGTCACCTCTACCCAACATTGCCTCTGGTTCAGTGCAATCTGTTCTCTATAATATCACTACTATGTCTTTCACCAAAACTTTTCTTCTAGGCTTCATTCCCACAGGCTGCTTGCTCTCTCCTTGGCGCTCTTTGGCCTCAGAGAATACTAGGGAGATTCCTTTCTGGACAAGAGAGAAGACCTAGTGCCCCAGTGAGGGCTAGGTCCAAGCCTAGAGATTCCCTGGGAACATGGTGCAGGTTGGGCAGTGGGACAGTTACACAGGAAGAATGGGAAAGCCATGGTCCACCCACCATGGTGCCTCGGTTCCATGGTGTTCCTCCCTGAGAGACAGCGCTGGCTATCTTTCACTGTGGGGCCCTTGCTGGAGAAGAGGCCAATGCAGTTGCCAGGCCAGTTCTCTAGGTTTCCCACATGTATCTGTCCATACGATGCACAGAATGCGCCTGACCTCCCTTTCACTCCAACCCTTCCCTCCTGTGTATCCTGTAACCAACACAGAGAGAAAGAAAAAGGGAAAGACAGAGACACACAGAAGGAAAGAGAAACATGAAGAATGAGAAAAAACTCAGGCCTGTGTATAGGCATAGGTATGTGGCTAGAGGAGAGGCCTGGACTCTGGCTCTGATTACCTATCTTGAGGATATGGTGGAAATCCTGCAGATCAGAGAGTGACTGTGACAAGACAGAGTGTGATAGGTGTATGATAAGTGCTGATAGTCAGGGAAACTGAGACACGGAGTCAAAGTCTCAGGGCTCTAGCAGGGCTGGAACTTTCTGTGGTGGCTCGACTCTGTAAGGATAGCTCTCTCTAGACTGTAGTCTCTCTCTGTCTCTCCCTCACCCCACCCCCACCCCCACTGCAGAGTCCTACAGGTGACCTTCTCCAGACTGAGACTTAGCCCCATACCTGTGTTTACATAGAAAGGACAGACACACAGATGAATAGGCTGACACTGGTCCTGAGCCTCCAATGACAAATTAATGAGCAGAAAGGAATTCTTTGCTCTGACTCTGCTTCTATGCCAATATGGGAGATGAGAGGGATTTGCCACATGTCTGCCATTGTGGTAGAGCTAGTCCCATTGGCTAAGAGTACCCAGAGGAGCTGCTAGCTGTCCCCCAGAGACCTAACCAGTGCCTTCTGCTCTCCCTCAGGTACAAGAAACAGATCTAACCCATTCCTGCTCCCTCTGCCATTCTTTCTTCTTTATTTTTTTCCTCCTTAGGTGCTTCCCCTCAACCTACTTGCTATGACCTACAGCCTTCCCCCCATCCTACAGTTACGTCACATGCACCGATATGACCCTTGCTTTGCTCTGACAACTCTGTACTAGCCAAAGTGTGGTTGCTAGATCCATAGGGCAGCTGGCCATGGCCTAAGAGTGTTTCCCAACCAGGAGTCTGTTTCTCATACAGTCTCTCGGTGCCAGTGTGCCCACCTGGAGACTGAGCATTGACTAAGCCTCCTCTGTGCCACTGGAAGGCCAATACTCCCTCAGTGTGGGGCAATGGAGAATGTTCTGCTGTCACCCTGGGGAATTCACAGATTTCTAAGAGAAATGGGACAAAGCACAATAGCAAATTATGCTAGCCAGTATCTGCTGGGCACAAAGTATAAACATACTACATTATATGGGGTAGGAGTTTAGGGAGCTCTCAATAGAGGAGGCCTTAGGATTAGTCAGAACAAGAGAGCAGGTCTGAGGCAGAGTAATGTGGCAGTATTTTACTTTCTTCTGTGTACTGTGTTAGCTACTCTGACCTCTTTGCAGGCTCAGAAAGGTTGTTGAATTAGGGGATGTTGTGGTGGGAATATACTGGAGCTACTAGGTGCATGCTGGTACTTTGTGTATCTTCCATGTACAAAATAAGTAAATTTTTTACAAGTAATTTTTACAAGTAATTTTTTACAAAGAAGAGACATGCTAATAAAAAATCTGGGCCGGGGCTGGGAAGGTGGCTCAGTGGTAGAGCGCTTGCCTTGCATGCCTGAGGCCCTGGGTTCGATTCCTCAGCACCACATAAGCAAAAAGAAAAAAGCCGGAAGTTGTGCTGTGGCTCAAGTGGTAGAGCGCTAGCCTTTAGATGAAGAGCTGAGGGATAGTGCCCAGGCCCTGAGTTCAGGCCCCACGACCGGACCCCCCCCCAAAAAAAAAATCTGGGCCCTGTTTCTCCTGGTCCTACCTCTATCCACTCTTGTTCCATGAGCCCATCCTGGCCATAGACACTGAGGAACCTGGTTCTGACCCTTGGGAAGGGCATGTCTGAAAAGTCTCCTAAGCCAATTAGAGGCATTTTCCTTTCACTCTCCTGTCCAACTATACTTTCCTTCCCATCTCTCCCTGTTCAAGAGGAAAAGGGAAATATCCCAAGCTGGTTCTCACCTTTGCTTTTGTCACACAAAGAGAAAGTGAATGCAATCTTGGGGCATTTCCAGGATTTGCTCAGCTGTTGCCTCACCTGGGTGTTTGTCTGGGTTCCCTGTTTTACTTCTCACTTCCCACAGATCCTGGATTTGAAATGCTATCTTAGCCCAGAGTTGCTCTTTTTTGTATTGCTTGATTTTTCCAAGAGTATGGTGTCCAAGGCACCATACTCTGTAGACCCCTTTCCCTCTACATCTTCTACCCTCAAGAACACTCACAGAGCCCCAAAAGGGGCTAGTCTAACCCTTAGGACATAACAGGTACCAGCATTCCTGTCCACTCATATTATCTTCACAAATATGTTTATTACAGACAAGGGTCAACATATTCCTGGTGCTCAAGAGGTATCTACCTGTCCTTCTGAGCTACTTGGCAATGCTGTGCCTTGTTCTTGGCGTGAACCACAACTTCACTGCTGTGTCTGATGCCAGGAGAGGGTTAGCTGAGAACAGACTCCTGGAAAGGGATCAAGCCTGATGCTCACAGCTGCACTTTCTGCCAGAGCCTGTGGGTTGGGGCTGAAGTCAACAGGTAAGAAGTCAATCTCATTTTCCCCTTCATGTTGTCAAACTACAAGTAAGAAGCAATCAGAGGCAGAGATGTGGAAGGGCTGAAGTTGGCATAGAGGTCAATCTATCTGGCTTCTTTCAAGTCCAGAATCCCATTCAGTGAGTAGGATGACCCTTTGCCCTGGTCCCTGGGAAGCGATTGAGAAAGGAATAAAGTCAGCACGGGAATGGAGGTGTGAGGAGCCAATTGTGCCCCATGAGAGTTGGAGAGCTGCCAGGGCATGGAGACCACAGGGAAGGACATCCCAGATTTCTATCCAAAGGGAGAGTTATTGACTGACCGCTCACCTGGGGGGCTGCCTTTCCCAGCACTGCTCCCTCATGCTCTCACTAACCATTTCTTAGACTCTACCACAGTCACGCAGCCAGTCTCCTTTCCCCAATCTTACCCGCTGATTAGATTGACTGACAGCCTGTCAGCAAAGCCGTCTCTTCCCCCTCACCTCCCGCACTGTGTTCTTTCACGGGTGTTTCCTCTGTGAAAGCCTTGAGTATTGTCTAGTCTGTATGTGCTGCCTAGAGCATCCAGCTCCACACAGAGAATTTTAGGTCTCTCATATGACTGATCCTTGTGGTTAGGATGGCAGGGACAGACAGGAGCCTTCCCAGGTACCCAGAGGAAACGAGTAAGTAACAGAAAAGAGCTAGTGCCTAGCCTGGAAGGGCACAGATCTCCGAACTGGTTTGTGGGCTTGTCCTTCAGGAAAGAGCTGTGGTTCCCTTTGGATGGCGGTGGGGCCAGGGTCATGCTGCCACCCTGTGACTGTCAGGGAGAGAAGGAGTGGAGACTGTTCCATCAGAGCCCTGATTCTGAAGCTAGATTCAACTGCAAGGTCTTTCTTTCCTTCTTTCTCCTGTGTCTTCATCTTATAATCCAAACCTGCCCTGAAGGACCATGTGAGAACGAAAACAGTGCTGTTTAAACATGTCTAGCTTCTGGGTAGTAAATTCATGATAACAATGCTTTCTTTCTGTCTCTTCAAACGCTCCCCATCCTTCCAAGCCCATCTCAATGTCATTTCTTTCCAGATCCCTTTCTGTCTTTGCTAGTTCTTGGCCAAACCAACCTTCTTATTTAGCTGCTGTCTCACTGGCAGCACAGAATGGTTATTCTCCTTGAAGAATCTGAAGGAGGATAGCAAGTAAGCAGAAGTGTGCCCCCTGAAGCAATGGGATAATTGAGCCAATAGGCTGTCGGACATGTGGTCTGATAGACCACAGGGGTGGCATATATTTCTTGTTTTTTTCTTTGTTCTATGTGAGTGAGTTTCTGTGTGGTTGTTCAAGTATGTGTGTGCACACACCACCCTCTAGTGCATGCCTAGCTTGAACTCAGGGCCTAGGCATTGTTGGTTAGCTTTTTTGCTCTGCTGGGAGAGGAATTATGGGGAGAGGGATTAATAGGAAATAAGAGGCTTATGGATTTTCCTACTCAAATCTCAACCTCCTGAGTAGCTAGGATTACAGGTGTGAGCCACCAGTACCTGGCACTCTTTAGAGGTGTTTTCATTCAAAGTCTACCTTGCACATCTCTCCAGCCCAGAGTAGTGTTCTTCTGCTGTCAGCTTGT